CTCCTCCAGTGGCCCACCCGCGGCCTCCAGTGGCCTCCAGTGGCCTCCCGCAGCCCCCAGTGGCCTCCAGTGGCGCGAGCAAACGACTGTGGACCACTGGAGGCGCAGGAAAGCCAGGCCAACTGACAATAAGAGGCTCCCAGGATCGTCTTCTGATCAGGGGCCACTCAGCCAGACTATAAGCAGGACTGAAGCCCAGGACCGAGCCAGATCAAGCGAGATTACAAGCTGGATTCGCAAGGGCCCTGCCGGATCAGGCTGGCTCTCGACCACAGATATACCAGCGCCGGGTTGCAGAGCTCAATCTCCCGGGAATTGCATCCCAACAGGAGGGGGAGGAGCGAGAACCTGCCATCGCTCGGACGTCCATTCCCAGTGCAGTTTTCGAGTTCGCGCGCTTGTTCTCTCGCAAGATGATCCTAGATGCCCCTCGATGGCCCCCGCCAAGATGAGATGCACACGTTCGAGCGATGCCAAGAGCAGGGGGCGCCCTTCTGAGAAGGCGGGGGGCTCACGAGAGAAGGCGGGGGCGGCCTCACGGAGGAGCGCACTCGAAAGCCCTCCCCCCCCGCCCCTCCAGAGCCCCCGCCGCTCCAGAGGGCCACCCGCCGCCCGCGCCACCCACCTCGGCGCGCGCCGCCCGGGCCCCGGCCCCCGCGTCGGCGCTGGGCGGCCCCGGGGCCCCGCGAGGGCCCCCCCGGGGGGCCGACAGCGACGCGAACGGATCCGCCCTGACTGGCTCGAGACGCGGGACGTCTGGGGAGGGAGCGCGGGCGGCGGCGGAGGCAAGCGCGGAGGGGTCGCGCCCGACGAGGGGCCAGGGCGGGGCTCTCGGGCCCCCTGGGCCCGGGGCCGGATCTCAGCATGGTGGGCTTTTTTTGTGCTCGGCGTTTTGACATTGGGCGGGAGGGGGGGGGGTCTGGCTCCGGACCTCTGCCCAGTGCGACCGTTCGCAGCAGTGCGCCCTGTGGGGGAGGGCTCACCTGCTCGAAGCAGGCGCCCAAGACAGCCAGGATCCACTCCAGGGGGGAGGAGAGCGGGGTCCGAGGGCCCGCGCCGATCGGCAAAACAACGAATAAAAAACGATCACATGGGGGGAAGCGGGCCCTGAGGGAAACGGGTCCTGGATCCCGGGGTCTTCCCACAGGACGAGCTCTAGGTCGGGCATGTCCCCCTAGAGGCGGACTGTGGGCGAAAAATCAAACATACTTCGAGAATGCACCAAAGAATACTCAAAAAATCGTCCCCCTATTATCGATCCACTCCTTTTTAGAATTCTCCCCCTGTCGAGGGACACGCCCTGCTCAAGACGAGCTCCTCATCCTGGGTCGCTTTCCGACCAGCCCCTGGGCCCACGGAGGGCCCCGAGGATTCCGAAAGAGCGGCGAAGCACCTCAGGGCCTGTGTCCTTCAGGACCCGCTTTCCCCCCCCCCGTCGCACGCCGGCAGGGGAGTGGGATATGAGGGGGACGGAGGCCCTCTTTGGACGCCCGAAATGGGCACGGAAAGAATGGGTACAATGCCCAACAACAAATGTTGTCCCAAACCAACAGCGGCCACTGTTGGGCAGGCGGCCTTCTGTCTCAAATGGACACAGGCCGCGGCGACACCGACAGCGAGTCCTGCTCAAAATGAACGGAAACTGCTGTTGGGCATTGTACCCATTCTTTCCGTACCCATTTCGTTCGTGCCGACCCTCCCCCCTCCCTTTGGGAGACCAAAAAGTACCGATGCCGGTACTCCCCGCACATCTCCCAGGGTGCGCTCAGACCGGAATTTCTGGGCGACTCCGGCGGTGGCGACGAGGGAATCCCAGGAGGCCCACAAAGGCGACACTGCGGCCAGAGCATCAGTATCGGCACATTTTCCTTCCCCCATGCTTACGTCGGGCATGTCCCCCTACAGGCGGGGGATTTTGGACGAGAAATAAAAAATACTCAAACTATGTACGCAAAATGGTAAAACATATTAACACAAATCGTCCCCAGACTATGTTTTAACTATTTTTGAATATTCCCCCTGTAGAGGGACACGTCCGACTTAACCCCATGGAGAAGATGCGAGGCGGGAGTTATCCATTCGGGGGCGCGCAAACATGGATTGGCGATCCATGGATTTGGCGCGCGGTCGCCAAATCTGTGGATTGGGCCGCTCGGCGGCGGGAATCCGCGATTTCCCATGGAAAAGGGACCCGTCGCTAATCCACGCCGCCTTAATCCATGTTTGCGATCGCCTGAATTCAGGACCTGCTTCCCCCCATGGCGAAGATGCGAGGCGGGAGTTATCCTTAGGTCGGGCCTGTCCCCTACACAGGGGTTTTGGACGAAAAATTAAAAATAGCCAAAACAGATTCAAAAAGTGTTCGAAAATTGTCAAACAAAACGTCCCCATACTATGTCTTACTATATTTGAAGATTCCTCATGTGGAGCAACATGCCCAACTTAAATTTATCCATGTCCGTCGCCTGGGAAGCGACGTCCTGGTGCCCCAGCAGGCGGTGGATGTGGGTACATTGTGGCCCCTGGAGGCCCGAATATATCGATATCCACCGCCTGCGGGGGTCCACGAAGATCGATCCCCCAGGCAGCGGTTATGGACAAGTCCCCGCCTCGGAGAAAATCTCAACCATGTTTAGGTCGGGCATGTCCCCCTACAGGCGGATTTCTGACGAAAGGTGAAAATACTCAAAAAAACATCAATATTTACATATATGATCGACAAATCGTCCCCTGACTATTTCTGGACTATGTTTGAACCTTCTTCCTGTAGAAGGACACGCCCAACCTAAATCCAGGTCTCGGACGCGCCGGCGAGGGGTGCCGTAAGGAGGGGTAGAGCATGCTATACGCATGGAATGCAGTCCACGACAAGACGAACGATGAGGCAACGATACCTCTTTTTGATCTTCAGCTGGCTATGATGAAGTCGGGCCTGTCCCTATACAGGAGGAATATTCAAAAATAGTCAAAAAATCGTTTGGGGATGATTTGTTGACTATTGTTGAGCATTGTTTCTATGTTTTGACTCTTTTTTATTTTTCGTCCGAAATCCCCCTGTAGGGGGACAGGCCCGATCTAAGGCTATGATTCGCGCTCGTGCCCACCCCGTCTCGCCTTCAGGGACTTCGCATCGCTCACGTGATGGTGGGATGGGATCTTGGGGATCTTCTGACCCGGGTCAATCCAGACCCGTGTCAGTCGGGCCTTGCAGGATCCTGCAGGGTCCTGAGCCCAAAAATCTGGGTCGATGCGAAAAATCCTGCAAGGCTCTGCAAGATCCTGCACCCAAGCCCGGGTCAGGGCGACCCTGGCCCTTCAGCATCCTGCAAGATCGGGCGCTCTGGCTGACCCCCGCTTGAGTTACTTCAGTAAAATGTTCAGTGAAAACGACCTCGGGCCCAAGCCTGGCGGGCGCAAGCCTGGAAAGTGACGGCCGCGGCGCCCTCTCGAGGACCGAAAGCGCACGATTCACGAATCGACGTGTCAGGGTAGGAGGTCTGTCCACCTCCGACCTCCGCGCCCGCCACCGCCGAGGGGGAGGAGGAGGAGGGGGAGGAGGGGGAGGGGGAGGAGGGGGAGGAGGAGGAGGGGGAGGAGGAGGAGGGGGAGGAGGAGGAGGAGGAGGAGGAGAGGAGGAGGAGGAGGAGGAGGAGGAGGAGGAAGGAGGAGGAGGAGGAGGAGGAGGAGGAGGGAGGAGGAGGAGGAGGAGGAGGAGGAGGAGGAGGAGGGAGGAGGAGGAGGAGGAGGAGGCCTCCGCCTCCGGGAGAAGAGGGGGGGGGCGCTGCCGAACGCAGCAAGGGGGCCGTCGGCCTCGGGCGGCTGCTCCGCGGGGGCTCGAGCCGCCGCCGGCCCGCGGAGAGGGCGCGCGCGCGCGCGCCTCCTGAGGAGGCGCGGAGAACGGCACGAGCAAGAGCCTCGGGAGCTGAGGGGCAACGACAGGGAGGTGGGTTGTCTGGCACAGGGGAGGAAGCATGGACGTGGCATCGGCGATGCATCGCCAACAGATCGGCGGCAGGCCCCCCCTCGAGGGCGGGGCGGGGCTGCCAGACCCCTGGAAGCGGCCCCTTTCGGCGACCCCATGTGCACCAACCAACACCAAGTACTCATCGCATTCGCCGCCGCATGGGTTTTGCAAACCCAAGTTGCGGGTGGGTGGGTGGGATGATTGCGAGAGCAGCGGAGTTGACAAGTCCAAACGATTCAAAAAATTATGTGCGCAACATAGATTGCACCACACGCCTTACACCACATAGTATGCAACAACCCGCTGTTTGGAGCCCGCGCTGGTTAACATTAGGTCGGGCATGTCCTCTTACAGGCGGACTTTGAGCGACAAATCACATAATCGTCCCCGTATCATTGTTCCAGTTTCCCCGACCCTCCTGCGTTGGGTTCTCGTTTTGCATAGAGCAGTGCGGTCTCCAACCTCCTTTTCCTCCTTCTGCCCGCCTCACTTGTCCTCTCCTCTTCTGTGCGCCTGGTGGCTTGCCTGTGGGGTTGCGTGTGATACTGACATGCCTTCGGAACTGCGATCTGCGAAACTGTCGCCACTTTCGAGGGCTGCTGGGGGGGCAAGCAAAGTGGGCACCCGCCGCGGATTCAGATTCGACCTCGCCATCTATGGGGGGCTGCAAGGTGCGAAACGGCAGCGACATTCGAGGGCTGCTGGGGGGGGGCCAGCGGAGCGAAGCACCACCCAGACTCAGATTTGACCTCGCCATCCCTGAAGGGCTGCGATTTGCGAAACTGTCGCCACTTTCGAAGGCTGATGGGGGGGCAACATAGTGGGTACCCGCCGCGGATTCATACTACACCTCGCCATCCCTGGGGGGATGTGATTTGCGAAACTGTCGCCACTTTCGAGGGCTGCTGGGGGGGGGTCATAGTGGGCACCCGCCGCGGATTCAGATTCGACCTCGCCATCCCTGGGTGGGTGCGATCTGCGAGATTGTCGCCACTCTCGAGGGCTGCTGGGGGGGCCAGCATCGTGGGCACCCGAC